TTTTGTTAGTTCATTCCGATAATGCCTTCATTCAGTTTGAAGATAAATTGGCAATTCCTCATCCCAGTCTAATCCAGCTATCCATAATTTTTGAATAAATTCTTTGACGTAATTATACAAGGAGCTATCCAACCAAGATCATACAGGCGAGATATTTCTGAAATAATTTTGCTTTTTATTTCAGGTGCAGAGGGCGACGATGAAGCAAAGTTTACACTGTAGTCGAATTCATCAGTTTTTCTGTTCCAGGTAAGTTCTAATATTTTTGAAATTTCATCAGTCTTTATTTATAAATTTGTCCCGCCATGCTTTTCTAGTTTTGCTAATAATTTTTCATCATTGCTTGACCACTTCTGCAACTTAAAACAGCCCTTGCCACGTAGTTCATTCATTTCTTCGTAATAAATAATTACGTTAAAAAACAAATTAAAATTAAAAAAATAAAATTAGAAATAAACACTTTTATAAATTTTCTTTTTCTTTCATAAACACTTTATATTTATGTTTTTAGGAAAACATAACAAAAATAGAAAAATTAATTTTCGTTCATTTGAGAAGTATCACGCAAAATCCTGAATCTATAGTAATTTACTTAGTTAAACAAAATCAATAAAAATAAAATCAAAATTTATGGTTAAAGAATTCATTGATATTATAAAAGGCAGTATTTATTAGCCACTGCCTTAAACTTTTTTTCATTCGCCTTAATGGCTGTTCACGAATATTTTTAGGAACTTTATTATAAACCTTGATACACATTATGAGGCAATTCCTCTGGAATAATACAGTTTTACAAGATGGCATGAGTAGACGTGTCGGATCTCTTTTTGCTAGAGAGGTTATTATTTTCTTGCAAGGTAACAAATTGATTAGAATTATTTTTAACGAAAACACAGATTTCTAATATATATAATCCAGTAAAAGTGAGAATATTTTTTTCCTTGAACAGGGGTCTACAGCTTTCAAAAATGAAAAAAGTGCGTTTTATTTTTCGAGTAGTTTTCTTTGTTGTAGAAGTACTTGGGTTCCTGGGAGAGTCTGAGAGACTACAACAAATTTTATTCAGGTTTATTATTTTGTATTCTAATGATATTATTTCGTCGTCTATTTCCTTATTAGCACTTTCTAATTGCCTTTTTAATGGTATGTATTTCATCTTTTAATTCTTCCATAGTTTCATCACACCGGGTTGATAAGTCCGGTAGACTTCTTGCTCTGTTCATTTTTTCTGATCTAAACGATATTAATGATTCATCATTCGAATTACTCGTATTTAGTTGGGTAATATGTTTTCTAAATGTTATGTATTGCGTTATTTCTTCCTGTGTATTTTCCATTGTTTTGAATGCCTGTTATTTTTATTTTCTTGGATAACAATGTTGAATCTCATTCAATTCAATATTCGAAACGTTTCGAGAAACTACTATACATAGCGAAAACTGTTACAAAAAGAGAACTTGTATGCGGGATACGAACTCGTGCCAAATAGCTGACTTGACAGTACCGAACATTAAGCAGCCAATTAGATAAGAAACTTAACGAAATTAGTATTCTGTATGTACGCTATCTATTTTATAAAAACGTTACGACGATATTTGAAGTTTTGAATTGAGAAACGATGATTTTAGTCATTTTTTTCTATTACGTAAATACACTAGTTTATGTTTTTTTTTTTTTGTTTATATTGTTCCACTGTTAATAATCGTTATTTGAACTGCACTGTTTGTTTTTAATTTGTTAGAAGAAATAATAACACTGTACTATTTATTATAAACAAAGTTTTATCGACACTTTTTAAAAACGTTTTTAAGCACTTTTCCCTAATAATTTCGTCTACATAACATATTCGCTTGTTTTTTTTTTTGCACTATTTTATATATGATTTAGTATTTATTTAAGGTTAAACTATGATTTTAGTAGTTTTAAGCAAAAATGAATGCGGAGTTGATGTTTCGCGTGGCCCGCTGACAATGGTATGCTTGGGTTTGGATTTAATTTTGTTATTTATAGGATCCCAAGCAAATGGCAGCACCCTTCATTCTTCTCTATTGAAATTAGTATGTTTTTTAATCCCAATAACCTCTCGCATCATCCTTGGTAGGAATCGGTGTTCTTTTACGAGGAATTGTGGTTAATCAAATCTCATGTAATGGTGGGGACAATCTTGAACCTGTGTTTTATTCAATGTGTAGTGTTCGCATAAATATAAGAAATCATTATGTTTCCTTACTTATCACACCAAAAAGTAACACTATGTTCAGTTCTGTATCAATCAAGAACTTCCATATTATTGTTACGAGCTTGAGGTTCGTGACGATTAAAAACCGCCGATTGAATAACCAAAATTAACACTTCAATTCACTTAACACTAATTAAAGTTAAAACACTAATAATTAATCACACTGATTCACTTTATTCCGCTCCGAAGCTTCGATTGTCTCGCCAAACTCAATACTTCCCCGATCGCACCTTGCAGCGCCTATAAATACAAATTAACACCGAAACATCCAGAACATTCAAGTAAATAAGCGCAAGGCGTCGAAAGTTCGAGTGTCGGCTTCTAGAAGCTTAGTTCTTCGTTTCGACACCAGATGGCGCTGTAGGTTGAAAGACTAGTGATGTCATTTTCTGGAAAGCTCCCCCCGCTCTTGTCCCTGACACCGACTTGACGTCAACTTAGGCGCGCAACATTATTATTACTAGCTTTGGTATTTTGCTTACGTGCAATCCTACTGTATCACGTACGATACGGTCCTTTCCACCTCCCTTATGTTATTGTTATGTTTTTTTTTATATTTTCTAATATTCTATGACATCCTATAATCGAATAAAAGAGGATGAAACTATTGTTATAGAAAAATAATACTTCCGGTTTAAATGAGTTTAGTGCTGCCTTAGAATAGTAAAAAAGCAATTGCTTATTGTCTTTAAAATAACACATATTTGTTTAAAAGTTGTGGTTTTGACAGTTTAATATTTTATTTTAGAAGATGATAAATTTGGATATCTATGTATTTATCAACTATCGCCGTTATAAATCAGTTATATGGTTGGATCTAAAACAACAAGCTTTGTTTATTTATAGAATATGGGTGAGTAACAGCACACATTCCATGGTAAGTGGATACTGTGGCCCATAGACAACTATATTTACCCTCAATTAAAAATCAAAATTCAAACACGTTGTCACCTCCGAGGACTGATATGAAATGCCTCGTTCCTATTACAAAAGGAATCCGATTCTCTGCACTCACCATACGAAAGATAGCAGCATTAAGCTCCTATTTTACGCTGGCATTCTGTGAGAGCGTATCGGTCGAGCCAACCCATTCGTTCTACAATCATTATATAGCTTCAGCGTGGCTCTACCACGTATTATAATTGATGATAATAGAATGGAATTTATTACTGTATCATTATTTTGCAGTGGTTATTAAAAGTAGGAGATTTATGAAAACGCTCAAAATAGTGAGTGACCAACGCTGCAATATAGATGTCACACTTCATCTTCTAGAAAATCAAACAGCCTATATCTTGGATGCGGAAAAATATTCACTGATTTTTTGTATTTCCAAGTCATCGCTTTCTTCTTCTAACTCCGCTTGGACATTTATACTTTTGTTAATAATTAAAGTTTATACTTTTGTTAAGCTGTTTATGAATAATTTAATTTCGACACGTTTTATAAAGCAAAGCAACCTTTATTTTTGGATATTCATTTTACGTGTGGCAGTATTTTTTATAAGCCCATATGAACTGCCTCAACGCAGGATCATTGTTAGCTCCGTCTCATGCTCTTATGTTGCAGAAGAAAAGCTCTAGATGATCCTTAGTTAATTTACAAAGTAGTAAATTTATACCTAGGTATTCAGGCTATGTCAAGTTTGTATATCAATGTTTTAATGTTCCAATATAGCCCAGGAAACCTAATTACCTGGTTTTATTTGTTCACCATTAAGGTACAATTTTCTGTCATTTGATTTGGAATGTAATTTAAAACTTTTATTAATAACTTTAATATCGGCTTAGTAACAAACTATCGTTTTTATCAAAGTGTTTGACAAATAAACCTAAAAAAAACGACATAAAGTTGAATATTCGTTGTAATAAAGGCAATCTGACATGTTGTCCATAAAATTACACGTACCTGTTTTACGAAACACCTACATTCGAAAGATTTTTTTGCTTTCGTTTTTACACTTCTATATTGGCCAAAACGCATATATTATTTGAGCTCGCGATAATTTGAGCCTGTGACTGACAATCGGTTAGGCAGTAATTACCCTATTTGTGAGTCACCTACCCCGCTGAATTTCGTTCTTTTGTTTTATATATTCCGTGCTGTTGCGCATCCTCTGGTTCAGTTTTCCTCTTGCGAAATCTATGGAATGATACATGTGTCATACTCTTACACCGCCACTACACGGTTTTATAGTAATGCAGCAGGTTCCGCAGTCTAACGGAGAGCTAAAGAATGTGATTACCGCGAAGTGGGAACGTATTTCACAAAAAATGATAAGAAATAATATACTCGTTAGCATGCCAAGCAAGCATACTAAACTTTTATCTGTTTTATTTTATTAGAGAGGAAACAAACAAAAAGTGTTCTTTTTTACTTGGCGAACATTATTTCCCTTTCATTTGATCAAAAAGTTACGATAATTTATTTACAAATTTCCGAGTATAAAACTACCTGAAATTATTAAACAATCAAATGGTAAAAATAAAATTGGTTGTTTGCTTAGGTGCTCGTTTCTTTTTTTTTCTTTTTGCAAAAAAAAAGTATATAACAACTGTTTGGTTGACTGCCATTTTGCATTGTTGCATTTGTAATTCATCTAATTTACAATTGAATAAACTTTAGACATATTATTACAAATATACTTTTGAAACCAACAGTGGAGTAATTACTGAACAAAGATAGGAATAAAAATAACGCTTAAGTTAATAAAATAATGCTGCCGAGTTCACATAAAATTATTGGATTTAACGAAGAATAACTAAAGTTCATCCTTTACCAACTTTAAAATTTCATCTTCTTCGTCAGTCCATTCGTCGGGATTTGATGTCATTTGACCTAATGCTTCCATCCGTCTCTCCATAGTTACTTTATCCAAAATATGTTCCATTTTTATATGCATGCAGTCATTAAATACAGATGCATACTCACATATCTCAAAAATACCTTCAACGACGTTAATGCATTCAGTGATTGCTGATTTTAGTCGATCCATTACTTCACTATCATCTCCATAAACAGCTCTATTAACTTCTAAAAGAGTTTCTTGTGTGATTTTATTGTTTTTTATAATTGCATTACGCTTAAGGATACAAGCGACAAAGCATTTACCCTGCGTTGTTGATTGCGGTATTCTTTTTAAGAAATTCTCTACGTCCACCATTGAAGCTTTTACTTGCCGAGCGCATTCTGTCAAGTTCTTTCTGAATGGTTCCACCTCACTGTTCATTTTGTCGATTCTTTCGATCTGTTCTTCTTTTGAGAGAGGTTTAAACGACATTACGAGATAAAATGCCGAAACAAATACCAAAAATAACATCACTGTTAAGAAATTTGTTAAAATGTGATTCATTTTTAATTCACTGCTCTTATTTCGTAAATGTTTGGCTTTGTCTGGTTCCATGTTGTTAATATTATATTTCAATTATACAACTGCGTTCAAACTGATCGTTAGTTGAGATGTTAGATATTTACTGAGACGTGGCCGTCGGTTATTGGGTTTAATAATAGTCGCTGAATTGTTATCGCAAGAGTTAGTGACCATAACTTTTTAATATCAGAACAAAAGTATATTTTGTATTAATGAATATTAAACAAGTGTATTGTAAACGTATTTTATGATTTGTAATTAAAACATTTTGTCATACTATTATTTCTATAGATATTATATTTATCCACCAGACCAAAGTCTAGTGTTCGTAAACGCGGTTTCGGATCATGAGGTCCTGGGTTTAAATTCCGTGTACCGGGCTAGAATCAGTTAATGGAATTTTCTGTTAAGAAAATATTAATAGCAGCTGGGAGTCAAGATTTCGACGGTGTTTTACCCCAAAGCTTCGGATATCACGTAAAGCCGTAATTCCTGCGCCTGAACACGCTCCGATCAGATCGAATCACCGTCCCATTGAACTTTGGGAGTGAGGGAGCAGATGGTGCACCTTTACTTGCACTATAATATATATATATATATATATATATATATATATATATATATATATATATATATATATATTATAACATACACTTGGGTACTATAATTCTATCCTGCGCAGATGGTTAGTCTTCGTTGAGACTATTCGCTGTGACCGAAAATCGGTCTGCGGGACATTATATTTTATTCGATTTCAAATTGATCTTTTGTGGTCTTTAAAACATATGTACATTCAAATGAGAACTTATGATGGGTCGACAGGAAAAACTATGCTTGACTTTACCTAATGAAAGCCATGCATAGTATTATACTATTGTATTTATTACTTGTATATATGGTTGCAGTCACCAACGCCCAAACACACACACACACTCGTGCATACGTACATATAATAATTACACTTATTTTAACAATTTACAATATACTTTAAGAATTATTGTCGTTTGAACATGGCGTATGCCCAAACACAAAAGGCCTTTGTTAAGTGATAACTGGCACTGCCTGCCTAGGAGTAATAGTGTTCTGTGCTGCCTGCTCTCAAATTATACTACTTATAAATGATGATTCTGATTCTCTCACATCCTTAACACGAAGACTAAGACAGAAAAACAGGTTTAAAAAAGGCCGAAAAAAACCAAAAAAAAAAAAGGAGAGGTAAACTTTTATTTTTAAGTTAAATTTTTTTTTAAAAAAAAAAAAATATAATTATAGAAAAAAAAATAAATTTTTGCCAAATATTTGTAAGACTAAAACTTTGAGAGATATGACTTTTTTCGTAAACGCGTAGAGAATATCTCAAGAAAAAAACAAAATGGCTGCCAAATAGAGGGGGAGGGGATTAGACCTCAGTGTGTAATGTATTTTTATATTAAAATACCTGTATTATAAGTACCTAAAATATCGCTAGTCCGTGACCGGACACACTGTATATATGAAAAAAAAAAAATATATATATAAATAATAACATAAACACTCACGCCTGTCACCCAGAGGGGTAGGCAGAGACTACGGACTTCCATTTGGCACGATCCTGACATACCTCTTTCGCCTCCTTTACATCCATATATCTACGCATACATGCTCGTCGGTTAAGGGTACTTCTAACGTATTTTCAAAATATCGCCAATTTGGTCGATAAACTTTTTTCTAGGGCGTCCCTTCCCGACTCGGCCGTTCACATCTGCCATATAAATTTGCTTTGTCACTCTTTCCTCATTCATTCTTTCTACGTGACCAAACCACCGAAGCATTCCTTTCTTAATCCTGGTCACAACATCATCTTGCATACCACATTTATCTCTTATCACGCAATTTCTCACCCTGTCATTCAGATTCAACCCTAACATATTCCTTAAAGACCACATTTCTACAGCATTTATTCTACTTTCGTGCTTCTTCTGCCACACCCAGCTTTCACTACCATACGTTAAAGTAGGGACTAACACAGTATTATGAATTACCATACGTGCCTGTTTTGACACATTCTGGTTCTTCATAATAGAGTGCAGTGCCCCATTCACTCTATTCCCTGCATTTACTCGTCGTTCTATATCCCTATCATATATACCATCCCTGCTAAATACACATCCCAAATACACAAACTCATCCACTTGCTCAATTAACTCTCCTTCTATTCTTATTTCACATACCGTTTTGCTTTCTTCTCTTTCAAAAACCATCACTTTCGTCTTACATGCGTTCACTTTCATTCCACTTTATTTTAATTCCCAGTTCATTAATGTAACCATCATTTGCAACTCAGCCGCCGATGACGCAAATACGACATGATCATCGGCATACAGAAGGCATTTGACGGTTAACTCGCCCATTCTTAACCCACATTCTTCATCTTTCATAGTTTGCAAACACCGGTCCATAAATAGGTTTAACAGCCAAGGGGAAGCTACACAGCCCTGTCTGACACCTTTATGGATGCCAAACCAGTCCGTGTAGAGCCTATTGATCCTGACACAAGCACTAGAGTCCCTATAAAGAGACCTTAATGCCTGTATCAAACCAGCGCTCAACCCATATGAGTTCAGTGTTTGCCATAACACATTCCTGTCTACTCTGTCATAGCCTTTTCCAAGTCCATGAACGCACAAAAAACTTTCTGGTTTTTGGCCAAAAACTTCTCCGCAATCATGCGCGTGGAAAAGACTTGATCTGTACACCCCATTCCCTTTCTAAAACCCGCTTGCACATCCCAAATTTTTCCATCAATTTCTTTCATAACTCTTTCAATTAACACCTTAGCATACAGTTTACCCACAATAGCAAGCAAGCTGATACCGTGGTAGTTTTTGCAGTCCTGCTGTGACCCTTTTCCTTTATATATTGGTACTATAACTGCTTTACACCAGTCATCCGGTACCCGTTTTAATTCCCAACATAAATTAAACAAGGTGTACAGCAGGCCTGCCACCACTCCCTCTCCAGCCCTCAGCATCTCGAGTGATACTCTATCATATCCAGCTGCCTTACCTGCTTTCATGCTTTTCATTGCTTTCATTATTTCATCTACACTTATCTCCATACCCCTTTCCACTTCTTTCGGAATTTCTAGTTCATTCGATTCAGATGACTCTTCACTCATAAACACGTTTTCAAAGTATTCCTTCCATCTGTTTAAATTCGAAACTTCATCATTTAGAATACATCCATTCTCGTCTCTTATAGCATTTATTATAGGCTGTTTTGTATTTCCCCTGGCAGTTCTTACGAGTTTCCAGAACATTTTTATGTTAGCCTGGAAATTATCAGATATCCTTCTATCATTCTTATCCGTTCTTCCTTTCTTTTTCCTTTCAACAACTTCTTTTACTCTCTTATTTAGACGTCTAAATTCTGCCTTTTTTCTTTCAATCTCATCATTCATACCAGAAGAATTACCAGCTTTGGTTGCTAGTAAATCTAACCATGCTTTCTTCTTTGATTCAACTTCCACCCGTACCTCATCATCCCACCACAACGTATTACTTTTCCTTTCATTTGTTCTTTTTTAAGAGTTGGGCTTCGTAAGTATGATCATATTTCTCAATACAGATCTAAGCTAAATTGGCTTACAATCCGGCAGAGGCGCAACTCCAGAATATTACTTGTACTTTTTTCCATATTAAATGATCCATCTTCGCCTTCTTATCTTAAGAGTAAATTTCATTATCTTTCTTCATCTCATGATACGGGACGCTCTTCTTCTAACAACAAAATCTGTACTCCAGTTCACTTCACCGAGTCCTATGGTAACTCCTTCACAGTTCAGGCTACACGCCTTTGGAACTCCTTGCCCGATGACATCAGAAAAGCTCCCAATAAGTACGCTTTTAAAAAGTTGGTCCGTGATCATTTCTTAAAGACAATGCATTTTACATGACTCATCTATTTAATATGTATTGCCAAACAGACGTATATATTCATAGTCATTTGTATATACTAATTATGTGTGTATTTAAATATATATATACTTGTAGGTATATCCATTTATTTATATATTTGTATATATGTAAGGATAGATCATATATGTATAGTTTATTTATTAGTTGTTTGTATATATTATGTAGTTAATTATCATTTGTATAGTGTTCTCTTATTGCCACACCTACATCAAATTCTCGCCACTCCATGGGTTGACTGGTAGAGAATGCCTCAAGGCATTAAGTCCGCCCTTTGTATTCTTTTGTTTAAGGATACAATAAAGAATAAAATAAATAATAAATAAATACAGTGAAGAATCAAATCAGGTTCTCAAAATGGATGCCGGGGCGGTGGTCGAGGAACCAAGGAACCGCTCCTCATTGAGCCGGTCATTGGCAAAGTGGTGAAACGCAACCGTCGGAACTTCTCCGCCACCTGGATAGACTACAGAAAGGCATTCGACTCGGTGCCCCATACATGGCTAAAGAGGGTCCTTGAGCTGTACAAGATTGACTGTACAGTTGAAGACTTTCTTGAGTAGTGTATGGGGCAGTGGAGTACGATCCTTTGTCATCTGGGCGAGCGGATGACGGCTGCGGAAAGCCGCATAAGGATAAAAAGGGGTATCTTCCGAGGCGACTGTCTGAATCCAATCTGATTCTGCCCTCCAGTAAAGTACTGAGAGGGTTTGAACCCTCCGGAGGGGGGAGGGCTCCGGGAGGGGATTTTAGCTTTGGAAAGGAGGTACAAAAGTAACCCACCTTTTCTATACGGATGACCTCAAGTTATTCGCATCCAGTCGCTCTCATCTTGTGGAATTGCTAAACATCACTTGTGAATTTGGTAATTCTATTGAAATGGAGCTGGGGACGGATAAGTGTGCG